AAAGGAACTATAATAGACTTAGACAAGACTAAATCTTAAATTATAACATAATAATTAGAAGTAATCAGGATAAGCATTTATAAGTAATAATCAAAGGTGATTAAGGTAAGCACTTATAAGTAATAATTAAAGGTAATTAGAATAATTAACTCTAAGTACAAATCTTCTACTTTATATAAGCACGCTTATTCCCTAGATAGTTTTATAGTCTTTATAATTAACTTATATTATTAGCTTATATCTAAGTTAAAGACATCTTAGTATTATTTACTATACTTTTTATTTTACTTAATCAATCCTTTAGACTTAGCTTCTAGTTAAGACTTATCTTAACTAGTTAAGCCTTAACAAATATTAATAAGTAAACAACTATAAAAAGTAAATTATTAATAAAGCTAAGCAGATTAACTTTAAAATAAAAATTAAATATACTTATAATAACCTTAAAGGTCTATAAAAACTTGCTAAATAAGCAAGAACTAATAGCTATTACCTATATAATTCCCTTAAGTTTATATTATTAGTAACCTAGGGCATTATAATATATATCTTTAATAACTAGGTTAAGATGTTTAAAGCTGTCTTCTTCCTATTATTATTAGAGGCACTACTTAATAATATTAAAGACGTAGTATATCTATAGGCATATTATTGCCTTATAGCTATTACTAAAGAGGAGGTATAAAACGCTATTTAGCATATAAGGGCGGACAGAGCCCTAGGCCCTAATGAGATCCCTAACAGGATCCCTTTAGGCCTGCGTTAACTAGCTCACACCTATGCTTACTCACTTATTCTCCGCTTACACATTTCTAGGATATTACCCTTATGCTTTTTAATAGGCCTATATACTAGCTCTAAGAAAACCTAAATTTTAACAAATAAAATATTCCTCTTTAAACCTATCTATCAAATCTTCTTATCCTACTGTTGTATCATCTCAGATCGTTCCTCTCTTATATCCATGTCGCCTTTTCCTTCTATCCGCTACCTAGAACCTCCCAAATCTCTTTGTGTGATAACAAGGTCGGGTGGATAGGTCAAAAGAATCCCGCTAGCCTCTGATAAAAACCGGTCGGAAACTGACATCTCTCGGACCTCTTCGTCGACCATCCCGCCTCGCGGGCGCCCTCCATCCAGAACAGATTGATTAGAGGAGATTACATCCAAAACATTGCGAGAACCGTTCAATCTGGATCGTACGACAAATCATTTGAACTCTTTCCCAGTATGCCACTTGGTCAGATGCTCAACACTCGGAGATAGGGCCTCTTGGCTCTCCTGCTAAACAGAAGCTTCGCGGCCGACACCACATACAGGTGGACCTCCTCGTCGGCCGCAATCTCATACCAGGACAGTAAAGAAGAGCAAAACAATCAACAGCCGGTATTCGCTGGTGGTCACCCACCCAACTACTAACCGGCCGGCATATGGATTAAGTACGGCTGTGCGAACGGGAAGCCCTGCATTCCATGTCCTGTGGTCGATTGTGGAAGCATGATGCTATAAAACAATAACTCTAAACTTTAGTCCGAAAGCCTGGCATTTAAGGACCAAGGCTTAGTTGCAAGACTTAGCCCCTATATGAAGTCCCTACTATGTGTTGATGGCAAGCTTCGAGGACCTGCAATGCGGTCGTGGTCAAACTGAGTATATTGTGTAACTTAGGTTTCAACTTAACAGATGTCATGCTTTACATTGCAGACGATTGAACCCCAGATCTTAGCAAATGCCAAATGGACGCTGAATTTCATTTGGTGCTATAGTACCTTAACTGCTGTCAAGAATGGAAGAAGGCATGCTTATTCCCTAAACTTCAGTGCTGGGGAAAATTCAAAGAGAGAATGTGGAGCGCCGTCAGCTCAAAGCTGTGGGGCCTTGGCGCTGAGGTGCCGCATTCTACCCGAGATTTTTTTTAGATGCTTCCCAGCAAGAGACAATCCCAACACCCTGCAGATGCGCACAAAGTGTCCATTCCATGGGGGTTGTCATAACTAAAGAGTAATCTCGGGGCTGGGTTTTATACTGGTAACAAGAATGCAAACTCACCAAATTTACTGTGCCAGGAAGCCGTTCTTACTAATCCAAACTTCTAACATTGAGCCTTCGGGCTGGTGTAGGCCAAGGCGCGACTGCGTGTAGTGCGGGAGCAATCTCATCCGAACTTTGTACTCTGGACTTCTACCAACTAGTCATCATTATAACACCATGATTAGAGTCGCTTAAGCTGATAGTGCTTCACACCGTTCACAAACGTTTTTCGCATATTTCTGTCTCCAAAAAGATGTGTAACAAGCTCTTAAGCAAGCTGAGACACGCCCATTTAGGTGCATTTGCTCGTGGTGTAAGAGGCAGGCAACGAAACGGTGATTGAGCTTCCAATTGTTCCGTCTTTGAAGGCTGCTGCTCAGGGTATTTGGTGCATTGACCAGGAATAATGCACTTGCGTTACATCTGGGAAGACCTCCCTATGAAGAACTGAACCCGTGAAAGAAGGCTGAAACATACATGGAGCGCATGGTAAGCTTTATATTGAGGGTTTTAAACCCAAAGATTTGCTAGCCACTCTCCGTCATATCGTGTAATCCTGCACCCTCCCCTTGTAGCCTACTATTACAGGCTCCCCTACTAAACCTCCTGCCACTAGTCAGTCCCCCTTCTCTGACCCTTACTTCCTACCAATCCTCATCATCTGAATGAACGTGACCTGCTTCTTTGCACGATGTCACCTGCTTATAAAGCTTTCTGTCCTCCTCTTTCAATTGTGGGGGCTAGATGTAGAATGTTGGCCCGACTCGCCTGGCTGCACGCTTCTTCAACCTGTTGCTGGTTCTACGCGGAGGAGGCTGTGCTCTTGCTGTGTCCTCGTCCTCCTTGTCATCTCCATCAATGTCCATTTGATCTACCACACCTCCTCTCCTCCTTCGGGGGGTGCTGGGCTGCAAGAGGCTTTTGCGGCTAGCTTTAGGTAGATTTTGACTGGGTTCTTGTATGCTTGACCGCTTCCGCTTCTGTGGCGAAGGTGACTGCGATGGTTGCGCTGCAAAAGTGACCTTCCGAGCTTTCTTGGGGACTGCAGGTTTCGGCAAAATTGTGGAATGGGGCAACGATGAGCTTGAAATCCCACGCGACTGTGTATTCACGGCTTCCAAGTTTTGTGAAGCAGCTGCGGCCTGTTCTGGCCGATGGTCTTCAAGTGACATCCGCCACATGCCCAGACTATCAGGCAGAGGATTCCATGCAGCGAGGTCTCCTATGGCTTGCTGGAAACGTTCGGGGCTTACGGTGGACCTTTCCTTTCTTGGTAAGACGTGTGGTGCAGGTATCTCGCCCCGGTTTTGCCTTTCCGCATCTATCACCCAGTCTGGTGGTGCACTGATCACTTCATCACGATTGTAAGTAGTTGGATGATCTTCCCGGGAAAGGTAGCTAACCTCGTGGCGTTGCCCATTGAGAGTATTTATAGGAGCCCTCCATAATCTTGGTCTTCAACGCAGCTCAAAGATGTCCTAGGCGGATCTAGGGTTTAGTGTCAGAAACTTTTTAGCTTGGATGGGCTCTAGAGGCTTACCTCAAGTATGGCTTGCAACCAATTGTGCGGGGAGGGAGAGGAACCTTGTCGATCGGAAGGATCGGGATGAATGTGCTAAGCGGACCGAGGATTTTGGAAATATAGATGCTGGACGCAGACGAAGGAACTGGAGGAGTAGAAGAGGGTAGAGGCTGGTCTGGCTATACACCAGAACCAGTTATAAAGCGGTTCACGAGCGAGATGGTTGTTGCCAATCCGATAACTGGCCTGGGTATACCCCAGGGCCAGTACACAACTTGGTAATGATACAAGCAGCGCCGGAGGTCGAGATTCATCCAGCTCGTGATACGTGGTGATTCTTGTCTGAGTGCCTGGAGAAGTTTTTCAGTTCTGGAGAGAACACTATGAGCTGAGTCTTGGCACAAATTCGCAAATATTCTCCTCAATATCCCGGCTTCATCGGTCTCCCCTTCTTCTTCTCCTTTTTCTTCAATTTGGGTACAGGTGGTGGAGTATATCCACCCCTGTTTGTCTGGTACGGTCTTTGATCGCGCTTTTACAAGTCTTGCACAGGCAGTGGTGTATAGCCACTCCTGTTGACACCGAACTTAGCAGTCATCTCTCTCAAGCTTGATACAGCGAAAATATTTTCGAACAGTCTCTCCTGCGTCAAGTCTCATTCGAATGAAGTATTCTTCCACGACACGTCAAACTACCCCTTTAACCCATCAATAAAAGCCTTCATCTCAAGAGCATCCATCCCTCCATAAAGCTTCCTAGTATCACCACATTCTCTGCCTTCGCAAACCTTTCTTGTAAGTGTTTCTGATTGCCATCTTAACTTTGAAGAGTTGCTGACATGTTTGGTCAAAAAGAATATCATGCAACATGGCTCCAGGAAAGAACAACAAGGTGTCAGAACCGCAAGGTCGCCCTACAAACAGTGGCCTACAACCATTCAAGGGTATTGTTCTGCCCCCTTCAAAAACGGCCAATGTATTACAAGATCGGGCCAGTAACTGGAACTTCGAGCACTGCAAATACGAAGCTCCCTTGAAGATGCTGCTTGTTCGTCAACACGGAACCCTCGCAGCTCTCTTTGATAGTCAGGCTGCAAGCCACCATCCTGAGGGCAGCAATGTCCAAGGTGGCAATGTCTAAGGTGGCAATTTCCAAGGTGGCAATGTCCAAGGTGGCAATGTCCAAGGTGGCAATGTCCAAGGTGGCAATGTCCGAGGCAATGTCCAAGGAGGCAAGAAAAAAAAGAGCAAAGGGAAAGGGAAAGGAAAAGCAAAGGCTTCAGAACCCCAAGCTTTCATAAGAACCGAAACCCGTGGATTCAGGAATTACCCTGACGTACTTGTAATCTCATTCAAGAATGAGAATAACGAGCCTATAGAGCTCATCAATCTTCCTATGGCTGGTTGCACGCTTAGTATCAAAATGAACCGAACCAGCTATATAATTGATATAACCTCAAAAACCGGCACTAAGATTCAGGATCAATGGGTTTTTGAACTCAATTCTCTACAGAAAAGGAGGCAAAGCAGTGTAAGGAAGTGTGGTCACACCTTGCGCGGAGCTTCACGGTGAGTGTTCCTCTTTCTCACCCTCGCAACTCTTTTGTATATCGCTTCCTAGTGACCTTTCCCGAGTATTAGACTAACTAAATTTGTGTCTACAGACCATGTCACCTGCTATAGTGAGGTATGTCAATCTACCACGCCATCCCACAGCTGTGGCAGTAGAAGAGACAGGTTCCGGTAGACAGGTCTCGTTTCCGCCTGTTGATGTCCTTATTCCTAGCTTTAGGAGCCTATAGCTAACTCGTCATGTCGCTGATCCTTATTTCCAAGATTTGGTGAAAGGCGTGTTGGGTGGTCCATTCCTAGGAGATCCGGAGCTTAGACAACAGGAAGAGAAAACTCCGGAAGTGGGGGGAAGTGTTCATGGTGGCGATGTTGGTGGTGATGGTAATGATGTTGACAATAGTAGAGAAGGTCCGAGCGGGCAAGGTGTGAATATTACATCTACAGATGTACATAGAGCTGAGAGAGGCAAAAAAAGTGGCCAAAGATCAGTGAAGAAGACTGCAAAAGCAGCGGAAAAAGCAGCCGCCAGGCAGAGACGCAGGCAAGAGTATAGAACCAACCCTGCTGGAGTCGAACTTCGACGGAGCCGGCGGCTTGCTGCAAAGCCCGATATTGACTACGGGGCATTGGGAAGTCTACCCTCATAGTCTTTTGCTGAATATGAAAACTTCTTCTATAAAGAAATCGCTTATGTTGCTCTCTTTTGATCTCAGCCACCTTCGAGGATATCATCCAATGACTTCAATAGGTAAATATGTTCCAACTGGCACCATGTTACTGCACCATTCAATCTCGTTCGAACGTACGGCCTATGCCGGCGTGGATCGGTGGGTCGGCCAAAGATTTTTCTTCCCTATCGCTGCGACGAATTGTTACCTAGACACCGAATACATCGTTCTGAATATACCGTCCAGACACATTCCGAGTAAGACCGAGCATATGAACTGGGAGGTTAGGAGCGAGCAGACACAGACAGGTTTAGACGTACAAGGTTGGAGAAACACAAGGAAAACATTTGTGCGGGATTTAGACTACACCGTTGTGCACCGGCTTCCTGCTTTAGAACTTGGGAGCCACAGGTGCTTCATTTAGCAACTGATCAAAAATGCACAGCAAAAACATGGCATTTGGGTGGGACAAATTATAAATAATCCAGAATTCGAACGGCTCTAGGTCAGGGGGCAGCGCTCAAATACACCTGACCTCACTCACGATTTTGCTACATGTGTTTGAATCATCATCTTTTTACTCGACTCCCTCTCGACGTTATTTACTCCGAGTAATGTTCTTGGCATTAAAACACTGATGCTGGTCAATGTGTGTCGTTTCCTTTGCTCGTTCCTCGTCTCCTCAGTAGTAGTATCTCGATGTAAGCAGTTGGCCTGATTCGCTTCATTACTACATCCTCTCGTGGAGTGCGAGCACGGACTGGTGCGGCTCACTTTAGGGGCAAGGGGAAGGCATCTCAAAGCTGGATCGCGCTCTCGATACAGAAAAGACAATGTCAACATTACCAAGCGTGCTGAGAGCTTAGAGAGTGATGCCGGACATTAGCTGTAGATAGGACACGATGATGCTCCTTCCGGGGTGTCAACTCTTACTATGCACAGCGTGATAGCTCCATGTGAATATGAATACTAGAAATATGATGATGTGAGAGCTAAAGCTAGGAAGACATTGTTGAGCACCCCTGGTTCATACTTGGAAAGAGCAACAAATGTCTGATGGAAATATTTGAGAGGATGCATCAAATTCAGAAGAACTAGACCACTGAATTGTGTCAACCTGCTGTGCAGAGTACGTAGAGAAGCAAGTTAATTGATATCTAGGGGGGTAGAGAGCGTAAAACTAAGTACAATTGGCTGTGCTGTACAGCGAAATTAGAAGTGAAATTGCGGTATAAATTAACTAATCAAAAGCAGGAAATTCGCAGAGATTACGCATATGAAACGCGGCCAATAGACCCTCTCAGAAGATCAACACGAATTGACACAAGCTCCATACCACGAAGATGAGCCTGTAACGAGTGGCGCCTATAAGCGGTGCAGGTGGGAACCTGGCCTAGCGTTTATTGAATAAATTATTATTTAGCTACTACTCTAATTCGCACTGTTAAAGCACCTTATCTAGCCTCGTAGTACCTTGCATTAATGAAAAATGACCAGACATTACATACAATCTCGCTAGACTTCGTCACTCACTTTACGCATCCGGAAGTTCCCTTAGTAGGTCAAGCTGATCTTCATCCACCAAATCCGCCATTGAATAGCCACCTGTTTCGAGTCTCTCCGAGCTTGGCACAGTATTTGAAGTGCTGCGTTCATTGTTCGGTCTTTGAGTTTCAGGCCCCATTTTTGTCAATCTTGAACTCCTGATGTCGCCCACTGATCGATTCAAACGCAGTGCCACCTGTTGTGCGATGTACCATTGCAAGCCGACACTATAGATCGATTGCAAGAGGCTGAGACGAAATTTCTTTCCAAGAGGTCAGTTACATAGTCAGATACAATGGGAATTTGTGTCAATTGGTACGTACTCCGTGTTTGGATCGCTGCATCTCCAATACTTCCTCTGCCACCGCCGGCTCGCTTTCCAGCATTCCGAATTTTCGTCGATGCTTCATCAAGTCTTTGTCCTGCTTCTTGTTGATTTGGCAGCCCTTCCCTTTGGTAATGAAGTTCTTCGTTGTCTCCTGTCGCTTCGTTAACCATCTGAGCCTTACTTGCTCCTTCTCTTCTTCCGTCCAATCCAGATGGTTCTGCGCTTGGTCTTCGATGTAAAAGCGTGAGCCGGCCTCGGCTACTAGGTCAAGGTCTTTGGTCGTAGGGCCGACCCATTCCAACTGACGGCATGTTTGCGTCTGCGAGAGAAAAGCCATGTTGCGTGACCCGTACTTCAAGTTGAAGAATATCTGAAAGCCTTGAAAGTCGTGGTCCGAGACGTACAGAAATGGCACGTGAGCTAGTGCTGGGTGCTTGCTCAGGAGGCAGAGGCATTCGGGAGTGGGTATGTCACCGAACCCGCCCGTCTGTCCTTTGTCAATAGCCGTTCTAGCTGCAAACAGAAAAGAGACGTACGAGAACGAAGATCACCTCATCCATTCCCCTGTTCAATACCTTGTAGCTCAACAGAACTTTCTGCAAATTCCGGTGCTCTGCCACGACCACAGCATCAACTGACCCGCGTTTCATGGACACGTTGAGGATCAAAGAGGGAATTTCACTCTAGTTACTGCTGACCCTGAACACTTCGGATAACCGAAATTCTTTCCCGGGGTCAGGCTCATTTCGCAGTGTCAGCCATTGCAATATGTCGGAAACCACTACCAGCTTGAGATCCATCTTTCTGGGAGTCATGATCTTTCCACCCGCTGCCGCTATGCTCCCCAAGGCAGCTGGATGTATACCGATAGTTAACGCCAAGTCGATCAAGATCTTGCGAGCATTTCGCTGCGGAAAGTTGTGCCGAGAGACTTTGTATCCGGTAAGTCTTTGTAACTCGCTGGTGAAGTTGCTAAGCCGGATGACTGTATCTTCTAGCACCAAGAACCATTTCGCCCAGTATGTCTTGTCTCTCTTGGCCGTCCAACCACGACTGTGCACCTTGTCATATCGTACGAACATCAAGTCTTGCCCATGCTCATCGGGTATCCCATCCCTGTTCATTCGCAGCAGCTTCTGAACCCCTTCCGCCCTCGAGTCCGACAGCATCGTATTGACTTTGCTTGATGTTACATCGCCAGCGGTGACGAATAGAGTGTATAGCTTGAACAGCATCGTCTCCACATCTGGTGCCACTCGCCAGTCGAATTGTACGGTGGAGATATCTGCCATTCCGGCTTCGGCTTGCAGGGTACAGAGATTGGCGGGTCTAAGGTCTTGACTACCCAACGTCTGAATCTTGGTGATGTTCAAGAGTCCTCAAACAGGTGTCACTAGCGGTACTCAAGTCGTCTTAAGAGAAAGGAATGGTCAGGTATAATGGCCTTGCGGTAGTCGACGTAATCGATCTACACGAGCAAGAGACGATAGTTGTCAATCACACGCCGGAAAATTTTTGCCTGCGGTTGCAAGTGGCAAAAGGATGGTGTTGGAGTGTGCGGTATCCCTATACTGTATGAGGAAGGCACTCCCTTCAACCACCACAAGCGCGACAAAAGTATTGCAACGATAAAAATGTGCAAACCCCCTTTCTCCTGTCTCATTATTTTTGTTTCATTTCTTCTGTCTTGGTGTTCCTTCCGCTATATCACTGAAACTCAACTTTAGCCAATTATTCCATTGCTCATCTTCACACCTTCCTCCTTCTCTTTGTACTGGGTAGTTCGAGTAGCTCGAGTAGCTCGGAATTGATCTCTGAATCCAAGCATTTACTTCCTCGAAATGGGCGGTCGCAAAGGGGGGAGGCAGCGTAACGGCAGGCCTATAGACCCTGTTGCACCTGGCATCAATGCTCGTCCTCAGCAAAGGCATGCAACGACAAATGTTAACCGCAGCGGCGTTCCTTCCGAGCATCGATGTCCACTTTCTTCGCTCTACGCTTCTTTTACCGACCCCAATTCCGACACTGGAGCTACAAAGCCTAAGGTTGTCTATGAAAAGCTTTCAATGCCCGGTTCATCGATGAGCTTGATTGTCCGCAAACTGGGACGACGGATGGACCTTGATTTTGCTTTGGTCGAAGGAACAAATGATCTTCAGGCTGAATCGATGTTCGAGTCCGTGGTCAAGATACGCGTCATGCTACCTGACGATCGATACACGATTTCATTCCGCGTCTATCAACCCAGACTCACGATGGAGATTGTACGTTGGCCAAAGGTAGAAGACGACGAGGTTAGCAAGGAAAATAAGAGATCAACACCACCACACTTACAGCTTGTAGCTCAGATACTCTCGTTACCGGTTTCGTTTCGATCACTACACAAGATATGCCTATCGAGACGGCAAACCAGTCTGGAACATGATATTGACATATCTCAGAGTAAGACGTGCTTCTATTTCATTCTACTACATCCTTAACAAAGTACAGGCGTCCGACTCCACCGAGGTTGCATTCGCAAACGTTCCACGTCCAGTGTTGACGACGGCTACGATGACTCTTTCACAGCAAGTCATGGCGAACACAGAAGAGGCTGAAGGTGGGAATAACTCTCAAGACGATAATCAAGAGAATCAGGATGCGAGGATACCGCCTACACGGTTACGGAAATCAACGATATGGGAAAGAGCTCAAAAGCCCAGACCTGACGAGGAAGACGACGATACTATTGTGGTGGGACAGCAACCTGTCGAGCAAACTCTCATCGATGAACAGATCAGATACATGACCGAAGGGGCGCAACAGTTTCAACTGGACGAACTTCAATACCTTGAGTTACCAGTTGCGGCAAAGGTGTCGAAGCACCCATGGGCGTTGATAGGGCACTGGCAAGATCCCGAGGTGTTAAAGCTGATTCGAGATTTCATGGGTGATCGCGAGGTGTCGGAATTCGATGAAGATTTGCCAGGAGAGTCTGACGATGAAGCTCGAATCGAGGATCTGGATGTTTGAGGTTCTTAGTGTCAACCGGAAGGAATCTCTTGTTATATCAAGTCCTACAGTTCTCTATACTGATTGAGGCAGAGGTGCGAGCGATGGATGTTCAGTACAGCTGCTTTAACCTTGCGAAGCATTTTGTTCTTGTACCTTGACCAACACTGCTCAGCCAGGTGGACTGACTTCTGTCGCGAAATGACGATTGCAGCGCAAAGTGGCTCCGACTTCCTGTTCTCATCGCTAGCTATCCCCCTTTGTAACTCTTCTTTGCACATATGTACGCAACCGGCGCTGGCAAGTCCGACAATGTTCGGATAACCATCCGATCCTCCTCTTCCAAAGAAATATACTAGTCTCACCTACGCAGTCAGTGAGCCCCCCCTTCCCCGTCTCTATCGGTACCGAGATCCACGATGTCACCTCATCAACGTCTTACATTGTGACACAACCCCTACCTACTCTACATCCCTTGACCATTGCACTATGGTACAATCCGCATATGTGTGTCGGGTCGTCGCTCTTGCCTCATCCACTATGTCGTTGCATTGAACAACTGCATCCCAGGTCCTATTGCACATCCCTTGCTTGGTGTTACTTTCCTTGTCAAGCCCAGATGACTGTACAGCTTTCGCCCATTCTACTTTCCCCTATCGTCCGAGCGTTCCCGTCCCTTCTACTCATTCCATGTCCTCTGATGACTCAACAAACACTGCCCACACCATTGGCCACCCCGAGCCAGTCGGCACGGACAGTATACTTCGCTATCCACTCTGAGAGTCGTACCTACAGGCTGTCAATCACGTGCAAGGTGGACAGGATTACTTCTCATTCGATCTATCCATCCCTACAACTTCGATGGCTCCGTGGCATGCGATGGTCTCCTTCATACCTTTGAAAGCTTTGAACCTTCGACTAACTTCTGTCACTCAGGTGGAGCTACTTTTTGTTCCAGAGTCTAGGCTTCACTGTCCGCGTGCCACAGACTTTCTAAATCTTCTTCAGCCCAGCTCACGAGGCCGTAGATCACGTATGAACCTCACATGTGAACGTCCCGCCGCTTTTGCCACGCAGCTGCTTCATGGCTTCAGATCTATTGAGGAACTCTGAGCTGTTGAATGCCTTCGACCGGCCACCTATGCTAGTTATTTTTGGGGGGGGGGAGGGGTTTGTCATTACCACTTGCTCTTTCTGGACTTTCCACTTCCAGGCTTGCAGTCGGTATGTGAGTCTCAAGCAAGGCGGTAACAAGTCAAAGTCCGTCGCTCCTTCTTGGTGGCGGCATCTTTTCGTCCTTGCAAAACCACCAATTTAACCTCCCAATCCTGCCGCACATTACATCATCACTGCCCAAACCACCCACTGTCCTTCCTCCTAAGTTCCAATATTCACATCGCGTTCAGACTCATATCCGACGCCAACTGCTGTAGGTGACGGTCTCTTGCCATCTCAAGCCAATCCTCACACCCCTCAATCTCAAAATCCAGGTCGCATAAGTCACGGCGAACCGTTTCTAGAGCATATTCGAAACTCATGCCACCAAGTGCCTTGTACGTATCCACAAGTTCTTTTGCGGACTTCTCCGCCAGTGTCGGAAACCGCTCACGTAGGTTGTAAATCTGGCATGTCTTCTCTGGAGTGCTCTCAAAGAAATACTTCAGTCTTGCTACGTGGTGTTGGCATTTGGGCTTAATGATGGGTGATCGACTCACCTGCTTCCTGGGGGTAGGCTCATACTTCAACGCGATACCCGCTTCGACCAGCTGTAGTTTGCCGATCTTCCTGGAGATTTCGTTGCAGCTCTGACCAAGATCGTATGAATGTTGCCCGTGTCAGCGGAAGACGGAGTTCTCCGACCACCGCAACTGTTCGCCACGCGCTATCACTCAGAAACGCATACACTCACAAATGCTGCAGTTAGCATTGCAACGCTGATTTATGATCTCCTTCTAGGTGATTCTATAGCTTGCCTCTTCTATGCGTATATATAGCGGTCATCCTACTCCTCAGGAGTTGAGATAGCAAGTCAATCAATCCATTCCATCTACTTTCTCTTGCTTACTAATCTAATCTGCACTGCTTCATGGCATACTTCTAACAGCCCGGTGCCCGAAAGCACCGCTACGTCTTTATTATAGTTCTCGTAGCGCTGGGAGAGGGAGACCAGCATGTTGTGCATATTACCTATGATTCTGACCTTGAGCCTCAAATTTTTTTCATATGGAAAGTAGTTAACTATGGTTTTACCCAAGGGTCGATGTTGTGGAGCAAGTGGAGCTACTAGTAAATAGTCGAGGGAGACGATCTAGATATCCAAATTATATAAAGACTTTGATATTCACTAAATAGCTTTCGAAACCAGCTACTGGGGTAATATTCAATCGTAATTTTCATTGAAGCAGTAGTACACATTTGAAAGCTGTGCCGCATCACAGATATGCTTACTGTGGAAATTCCTTCGATGCTCCTCTGTCACTCAGGCCCAGATTTGACCTCACCACCAGTCCTCCTTACTACCTTGCCGAACCCCTTTCGTAACAACACAAGCCACTACGTCGGAGTAGCACACCTACCGCTGTTACATCGATCCTGCACAATCCAGCTTCTTAAGCTTTGCCCATGTCACGTAGCTCATCATCAATTTGGATCCCATTTTCGAGTGTTCGGTAGAGGTCGGCCACCCGATGACTCACTGTTCGTGGTTTGTTCAATCAAAGCAGCTTCAAGCTCTGCCTTTGTGACAAGCCCATAATGTATCGCATGAGAGCGCTTTTGCGTCCACGTCTTCAATATGACTGCATCGCGGTCCGAATGCGCACACGGCACGTACTTCGTCTTGCCACGTACATCGGCCTGTGGGTCAGCTACGTGTTGTCAGGATATTCGGACTCATTTACCTTCTTGAAATGCTCCCAACCCTGTAGCGCATATACACGTTCTTTATGTAGCTTCATGAGAGCATCGATGATATCTGAACCTGTCATTCGTGCTGAACAGATCGAAAGCTCTTCAACATCCTTCTCAGACAATGTGTGATGGATGCGTAGTCGCTTCAAAACGCTGCCCAGCAGCTGCTCCCGGCCATGTTGATCAGGAACGCCTACATGAAGCTTCTTGGCAAATCGGTGACCGAGTCCTGCGGTATTCACAATCCTCCAGGGACAATCTGTTGTGCCAATGACCATAACCTGGCTCCTACTATGATTGAGCTTTCCAAGTTGTATTTTGAAGGAGCTTAGACGTCTTCGTTCGAATCCCTGCTCGGTACCACGTGTCGAACAGATCAACCTGTCCACCTCGTCGATGAAAACTATACTTGGTTGGCAGCGTGTCGCCTCTTCGAACAAGGCCAAGAGAAATCTAGTAGAGGTTAGCGTAGATAGGTGGTGCCTAGACAACTTCACATTGCTTACTTCTCCATCATACCGACACGTTGGTCGAGAACCGCTGAGAAATTGACTTGGAAAAAAGGTAGTTGGCTCCATTTCGCAAAGCTGAAGGCCAGCTGGGTCTTGCCAGTACCTTCGGGACCGTACAGCAACACGTTGTCGATGCTAAATTCGTATTCCTCGGCGAAGGGAAGATAGTTTTTGATCCAGCCTATCTTGACGAAGAGGGTTTTTTTGACGTCATCAACGCCAGTTAATTGATCGAGATCGAGAACAGTCATATCGTCCTTGAGCTCTCTCCGAGTGGCCCTTGCTATATCTCTTGCTTCTTGCATGTCCTTGCTCTCGTACGCATACGTACTAACAGTATTACTCCCTCCACCGTGACTGCGCTTTCTCCTTGACTTGCGCCAATGGACTGCGGACTAATCATGATCGTGCCTTCAGATCTTTTCATTATCTGAAGCACTTGGTCGAGCTGTTCACGGAAGTCGTCGATGTTGCTGAGCTGCGAACCATAACTCCTAGTAGTAGTGAGTAATAGCCTGTAGTCGGATTCGCGTTTTGCGGCAGTAAGTAAGAGTTCGGCGTCTTCGACGTCGGCGGCTTGGCGTCGGACGTATTGAAAGGTAACGATTGCTCGGACAACATATTCACACGAGGGCATTTTAATGCATTTGCCTACGTTCTGGGCTCGGAAACTGCTGGCAAACGCAGGGCTGTATCCTCGAACCTAAACTCGTAGTTAGCACAGCGGCGTTTCCCACATCAGGCGATTCTTGCCTCGGATGTCGACGCTGGTCGTCCAACTCGTCGTATTCGCCGTACTCTCCGTTAGTGGGCATACTCTTACAACATCGGCCGTCGTACTCGCTGTACTCTTTTCTTCGAGAGCGTATATTCGAAGGGGAGAATTGAGTATAGCGTCAAGAACCTCGAGTAGCGTTCCGACCGCATCTTCCTCGTTCTTGTCTCCGCCTTCCTCCCATCGGAACAGCCGGGAGTACGCGCACTGGTTGTGGTTAGCGAAGAGTGGAAATGATGGTGAAATAAAACATACTGCATCAATCTTTGGGCATTTGGTAAGAGGCAATGGGTTCGCTTGAAGCGTATTGAGAAGCAACCAGCGTCGGGTGAGGATAGCGAGCGCGCATCAGATGGGTCGACAATCAAGTAGCTTGGCCGTGGTTGCCTACCCCATAATATATATATATATACGCGAAGATGGATTTGGACAAATGAAGCAACGAAGGGGCGAGCGTCACCTGGTCAGGCTAAGTGGTGGAAGGCAGGAAGTGGTAAGCAGGCAGGGATGTAGTAAAGGTGAAAGCCGAAGGTTTGAAAGCATGAGAGCGGTGAAAGCTGGCTGATGATATTCTAAGAAGACAGAATTGAGTGGGTGGGAGCGCTTACTATATACAAATGGGCCGAGGCTGTTCCAGTGATTCAAGGGTCAAAGGCTTCCTTCAATGTTTTCTATCTTCAATCAATTTTGACTTGAATTTGTTGCTTGGCAGCACTAGCATCGCTCCAGCGGTATTGCATAGGGCCAGCGGTGAAGTGTAGTCCCTTCAGTAGCAAGTTTGGTGCTGGAGAAAGGTGAATAACGGTAACGGTGTTGTGAAGAGAGGTGACCTACGGTAAATGTGAATTGCCTTGTCTTCACCCGGAAGGCAGGAGGGAAGGTTGCGTACTTGAATTCTACTCCTACAGATGATTCGAATATGTTTTAGCAGCTCGCCTTGAGAGCCTAAATGAGCCTGCTCTTTTCCAGTGTTTGTTCCGATGAAGCCCAAAACCTTGTTCTCCCTCTTCCGTCAGATGAGCAATACGAGGATCGAAGGCTCCCGGGTGGATATTACGAGGGGCTCTGTGTGGTACAGAGGCCGTCATGCAGCAGCCACGGAAAATCAGAGGGGCTGGAATAGGGATATTGCCTGTCGTGGGAACAGGAAGCGGCCAGATAGGCTACCTCTCGTGGCCGGCTGCGTTCTGAAATCAGCCCAAACCCTACCATATCTTCGATGGGGATGATAGGATGGAATTACCTGAGGTTTGGACACTGAACGATGGTCAATTGCAGATGAATGCAGCACGTTCGACTTGAGTTGCCAGAATCGCCTTGTCAATGTATGATTTGACCGCAAAGCAATATTTGATTGTGTGGTGAGCGAAGGGTACCCAGGTTGAGTGAAACTGAGATTGCTTGCGGAAGGCGCAGCACAACCGCGCCGTGGTGTCAGTCTTAGAATTGACGTGCTATCGTCCGTAATCAAGTTCGAGTCAAATGAATTACTGCTAAAGTCGGAAACCATGTTGCCACTGAGCTCTCACTCGTTGAATTGCTGCGTGCCGATTGTGGTGTTGCAAAACGCACTGATTCACGCGGAGAATGAATTGAGCATGATCCTGATTTCAGGCGGAGGGTAAGTGCTCCACAGTCCCAATCGTTTGCGCTCTTCATTGATCCATGATTTGAAAGATAGCCATGTTCTTCACCATACACTTTCTTGAAGAGCTACAGCCTAGCTCAGGCCAGACTTCTTCAGGGTTGTCATGGCCGCGCATACCTGCGATGATCTCGGCTGCAGCTACGCAGGAGATCTCATCATGAGCACCAGAGCCTTGGCCTTGATCACTCGACGTAGGAGACTCGACATTCGCACTGGAAGTCGCTGAAGGCATGGAGAGTTCCGCAACGTGAAGGGTAGGCGCTTCTGTACTATCTCTATCGGCCGTCATTTGTTGAATTATATGGTTCTCAGACCCGCAGAATATGGCTTTAGGGACAGCCTGGACAACTTCTGGCGTCTTTGCCATTGATTGCATGTCTTTCGTGCAGACATCTGTCTCGAGGGCTGGTGGGGTCCTCATGTGCCTTGCAGCGCAGGTTTGTGTCGGGGCACGTTCTCGTGGCGGGGGTGCAACCTTCGTCTTCACATCATGACTTATATTTTTAGAGAAAGCATCTCCAGTGCGCAAGAACTCATCAATCCGTCCAGCATCAACTCCACATATTTCCAACAATGAACGCAAGCTGCTGTTTTCTTCCGACACCTTTCTAGCAGCAGCCTGAACTTCAGCCGTGGCTTTTACGCCAGCAACTTCGTAGTGTCGAAGACGTTGCTCAAGTTCTTGGATATAGTCTTTTCGGCGAGCACGAGACCGTCGTTGGTTTTCACGGTTGCGTAAGGCTGCCAATTTCTGCATGAGCGTCAGTGGATGAGGCAGAACGAAGGAATTGTATTACTTGAGCCTCCATAGGGACGAAATACCCCCGCGGGACAGTTGCACGTTGTTTGTGCTCGTGGATCTTCACATTGGAGGAATTTTCTCCGCTACTCCAAAACTGGCCTGTGCTCATCTGCTTACGGAAATATTCGGGATCCTTGGTAAACTTGATGAGTTTGGATTCCTGTTCCTTATATGTATAAAACCCAGCTTCAGAGATTACCTTCTAGCTTAATATCTGGATTATTGAAGCATTTAATCAACATGCGTTATCAGGTCTCTGTCAATCCTTCCACTGCCTTCTACCCGCATACCACTTTACCAAATACACCAATCCAACCAACACTGGTACTTCAATCAGCGGACCAACCGTCGTTGCCAACGCCTGATCACTATTTGGCCCAAAGGTAGCGACAGCAACCGCAATTGCCAATTCAAAATTATTGCTAGCGGCTGTGAAGCTTTGGGTCGCTGCAAGCTTGTAGCCAAATCCCAGTCTGTGAGTAACATAAAGAGTAAAGGCGAATATGATAGCGAAATAAAAGACCAATGGTGCGGCCACACGAACGACTGAGACGATCTGGCGAACGACTTGCCGACCTTGCGATGCGAAAAGGACCAGAATAGTGTAGAGCAGTCCAATCAAAGACCAAGGAGCAATCCACTTCAAGAAAGTGGTCTCATACCACCGAGCATTGATGAGACGTAGGCTGAATCGTGTGAGGATGGCTGCTGCTAAAGGAATTCCGAGGAATACGCCCACGCTTGTGGCGACGGTCGAGTACGATACGGCAATACCGCTTCCAGACCGGCTTATGATTCGGACAAACAGGATAGCGAGTGGCGCATACAACACCATTTGGATTACGGAATTGATGGCCACCAGGATAGCGCAGTACTCTTCGTCGCCTCCAGCAAGACCAGTCCAGATGAGGACCTGATTAATTCAGTACAAGCAAGAGACGGAGAGAAATTGCTTACCATAGCAATACAACGAGCCAGTCCGACAAAGATCAATCCTTCTCTAAGACCAGGCTCATCTGGGAGGAAAGCCCATGCTAGACCGAGCTATTCGGTCAGTCTTTACTTCTCCGATGCGGCGTCAGACTCACCATGAGGAGTGGAGCGACGAGCCAATTTATGACGATACTGAATCCAATTTGAACCCAAATAGCTCGTTCTCTAAAAACGTGATGAAGTGTTTCATATTTCACTTTGCAGAGGATGGGGTACATCATGACAAGAAGGCCGATCGCTGCAATGATTAGTGGAAACAAAAGACTCATACAAGGGAGCATACCAATAGGCACTGAGACGTTGACAAATTTCCCTTTCTGCAATGCTGGCCCAACACTTTCAACAAAGTTCCCAAGCAATATGCCGATGATTATGGCAAGCAAAATCCATACAACGAGAAGCCGGTCCAACCATCCGAGACTCTTATATACGGAATGTTTTGTACTGTCTTGGTGTTCGTCCGGTTTCTCAGGGTCGAGGCTTTGAGGCAGACTGTGTGGCATTGTCTGAGGGTCTCTTGTTGATGGCTTCATGTTGGTCAGTTCTGCTGCGACGGAGGCTTTCGTTCAGCGAGGCCGATAGCGGGTAAAAGATGGAATGTCTGGGTGCTGAGGTGAAGTGTTCACAGAGGACCATCGCCAACCCGGTGAGACGATTATGTACGCTATAGATTAGTTCGAAAAGTGGATTGCTGGCGTGGAGACATCTCGAGAAGATGGTAGAGTTTCGATCTGACCAATCAAATAAGTTGCGTGACAGAGCCAAGACTTCTAAGTTAGTACCTCGCACCTCTCGAACTTGTGTCTTCACCTGTGGTAAGGCCTTCGCGCCTTCGGAGCTATTTTATCTGAACTTTGATTTTAGATTTTCTAGCTCCCATCTACCACTCATAGGATCCACGCTTTGAGCTTACTACGTATAGCGCTCTCCTCCGTCTTGAACTCTGGCTCAATATCTTCTTTCCTGTACATTCGACCTGAAAATATCCAGCGTCATTATTTGTCCTTCTGGAAGTTTCCTAATCAGCAGATCTATCCCGCGGAGTCAGGATCAAAGTGATGACGACGGAGAATGCGCCCTGGTATGCAGCGTATCCGAAACCGAAGAATACTTCTCCAGACTCCATCTCACGCTCAGAGGTATTGGAGAGACTTGATCGTGGTGAACAGCCGGGTCGGGATTTTCTACTGGTTGACCTCCGAAGGAATGACCATGAGGTGAGATAAAATCGTCACACTGTTGAATTCTTCACATAACCCCTTGATCGTGTCGGCTAACACGTGAGGGGAAGGGAGGGACCATTCGTGGCTCGCTAAATCTGCCAGCTCAAAGCCTTTACCACAGCCTTCCAACGCTGTACAATCTCTGTGATGCTGGCAAGATCGACATCATCATCTGGTACTGCGGTACGCACCCTTCCTCCCAGAATTAGCGTCCGAGTAATGTTTCAAGGTTCTTCTCGTGGACGCGGTACAAGAGCCGCCGGTTGGTTTGATGAGATGATCAAGGAGAAGGGCCACAAGAGCATGAAAAGCGTTATCCTGTTGGAAGGAGTTTCTGGTTGGGCCGCTGCAGGAAAAGAGTATTCCGACATGATGGACGGCTATGAGAAAGAAGTATGGGAAAAGAAGTGATTGAACGCAGATGGCATTACTGTGTCAAAGCAAGCCTTACGCAACGACAGCCGATCTGGCAAAAGCTGTGGATGATTTACTTCAGACCCTCCTTTGGGCGTTGTCGAGTCATCTGGTAGACTGATTTCGTGCTGCGTCCGTACGAGATAGACTCTTTCTATGCCTTCGTAGTTCCCAGAGACAGAAACTTGCTAAAATATATGACAGGCCGGAAAAGATTTGAGGGTACAGATATTCTCGTTTCATGCCAGGCCTTCGCAATTGGAGAGCGATCGTTTCCGAGACTAGATTGGTCAACACTTGAACCAGGAATCTTGTTGATAATTACTCACAAGCGGTCGGAAGAACAGTCGTGAGCCAGGCCAGGGAGAGTAAAGAAGGCAATTCTTCAAGACCTGCCACTTCCACACAAAGTGGTCCGATGGTCTGGTGATAGTCAGGAAGATCACCTACCAGAACAGTACCACTTACAACCCAAAAGACGCCAAGAATAGCGCCACTGATGATAGCAAATACAACGGTGACGGCGAACGACTGAAAAGGTAGCCACAAGACAAAACAGCACAATCCACAAAGCAAGGTAAGAAGACCAGCAATCTCAATCCGTCCATAACGATCACTTATGGTTCCAATGACTGGCCGCCCCACGGCAGTCCCGAGGTTCAAGTATGCAGTGATTTGGACTGCCTGATCTCTAGACAATCCAATGGAGATAGCATAATCCGACAGGGAAAACAATAGTACAATGTAGCCAAACATACTGATGAATGCCCAAGTAAGCAATAGAAAGACTTCATACCGGCGCAGTAGCACAACATCAAAAGGGATTGACGCTGGCTGTACAACGCGATTTCGGCTCCTGATGAAGATGGTGGCAAGTGTATTGACAGTAACGGCCATTACGCCCACAAGCCGCAACGACCATGCCAGTCCCAAATTTTCGATCGTTGCACCAGTACTCAGAGAGAATATGAGGCCGCCAATGCCCGAACCAGCCGCACTAATTCCGTTGGCAAGGCTTCTTTTGGTAGAAAACCATTGGGATAGGATTGCGATACTTGGGATGTAGAGGAATCCTACCCCAAGACCCACCAAAACACCCTGAGAGAGGTAGAGCTGCCATATTCGCCACGAAAACGATGCAGAAGCGTAAGCAATGCCAAACATCAAAATTCCCAAAGACATTGGCAGATGAATCTCATAACGACGAACCAGTGCAGTAACTACAGGTGCTGCAAGCATAGCGACAGCAAAGTTTAGTCCTCCAATGAAGGCAAAGTCGATTGGCCTTGCCTCAGTAAAAGTTTCATTCGAAAGGTAGTGCGCAAGATAAACGCCATAAGACTGTTTTCATCAGTGTTCTGCTCCGCCAGTTAAACGTATGACATGAATGGTGTACCGAGACCACACCCCAAGTGAAGGCATTGATTGTGAAACAAGCTGCCACGCAGACCCAGCCATAGCCACCATCAGGCTCATTTGAATTATCCTGCAGACGATGCTCTAACGTCTGCATTCTCCTCGCCATCTGGCCGTGACTGTCATGTTGGTTATTGCAGAATGCTGACTCCAAACTGTCCACTCATGGCGAGAGGGCATCTGGATTTTGCCGAGGTATTGGACAAAGTCACTCATTTGAGCAGTCCCGCCTTCTTCGGATGTGGCTCGAATCGGAAGCTGCATGTAGGAAATTCTGCGGGTCTTCGGAACAAAATTTGTGATGCCAATGTCGATGTTTGGGTGGGTAGAAGTGTTTGCAAACTAATCCACCTTGAGATATAGTGTAGTCGCTGCTTAAGGGAGGCCAATCATTCAATGGCAGTGACTAAGTGATTTAGTTCGAAGTGGATCAAATGTAGTAGGGACAGCCTACTCCAGCAAGACCTCACTTCAACCAAGAACTTACCGGAAGGTTAAACCCCTAAGAGCATCCTATTAGTGAGGGCAAACCATCTTTCAATCACTACCATGGCGCCGCACCTTGAAAATGGCACAACCTTCACAATGCAAGCGAGTTCCACCGGCGATCTCAACAATGTGTCAGCTATGCGGGCAACCGAAAAGCCAATGCGAGATCCCGAGTATGCATATCGTACTCTAGCGATTTCTGAGAAATCTGAAGGACCAGAGATTCGGCAACGTTACAGGCCGTTTCTGTTGGACAACAATGTCCAATCCACAGACTGGATAAGCCGCTTGGAGCTTGCGACCATCACGAAAATGGCCGATGAAGACATCCAAAGGACTGGGGAAAGACTTCGAGTGCTTGTTTTATATGGGAGCTTACGCAAACGGTAAGACAGCTTTCTAAGCTATTCGTGTGCTGATGATTCAGTTCATATTCCAAACTGCTTTCGTACGAGATTTCGCGCATCCTTTTCAGACTTGGATGCGATGTCCGAGTATATGACCCGACCGGACTTCCTGTCAAGGATGATGCACAACATGAACATGTCAAAGTCCAGGAGCTAAGAGATCTAAGTCGATGGAGTGATGGCCACTTTTGGGTGTCTCCTGAGCAACACGGAAATTTGGTGAGTTGTGAGATTCATATGGTTGCGAAGCTAATTTTAGACCGCTGTCTTTAAGAATCAAATCGACTGGATTCCTCTGAGCACTGGATCCGTCAGACCAACACAGGGCCGCACGCTAGGCATAGCAATGGTCTCTGGTGGATCGCAATCTTTCAACACAGTGAACAGCCTTCGGTTGCTCGGTCGATGGATGAGAATGTTTACAATACCCAACCAATCTTCAGTGCCAAAAGCTTATGAGCTGTTTACCTCTGCAGATGCTGAAGAGGGTGGCTCTCGGCTCATGCCCGGGGGGAATCGAGATCGATTGGTAGACTGTGTGGAGGAATTTGCGAAATATACCATCATCATGCGCGCACATTTTGGGCTCTTTAGCGACAGGTTCAGCGAGCGTACCCCTCTTGCCGGGTCTCAACCCCGAGCACACTGAACATTGAGGCGGATTCCTTCTTGCTTGGGATTTAAGAAAGATGGTGTTATAGCACTGGTATAGACTACAATGTTGGTGCAGACGTGTGTGGAAGGCTCGAGAATCAACGAGCTCAAAGATGAGGCTGCGCAGGCCAATAGAGGCTGGGGCAAAGGCTTCGTCAGCAATGACAAGCAGCTACATGAACATGAGCAAGAAACAGATGATAGCCAGAAGACTGAAGCAGGGGTATAGAGAAAGCGGATATTCCGACTATGTCGTTGGGCAGGGCGGATAGAAGGCGTTACTTCCTACCACAATCATAGTTAAAAATGTTCGTTCTTGTGTGCTACCTCCAAATGACTGTCGTGCGACACCAAGCAGGCCTAGATCCCTTAGCCCAAAAATTCAAACGGCATATGCTTCCGGGCTTGACGGGTGCCCGACAAGAGAGAACGGTAGATGGAGACGGCCCTGAAGCTTTCTGTAGGGGACCAGGCTACCCACTACCGTTTGCCGTAATTGAAGCTTCTAGGTAGGGATCGCATGACTGACAGCGGAAGTCTGCATGAGCCATGTTCTGCGCTTCGTGTCTTCGATCCGAATGCATGAGATGGCAGTATTGCGTGGGAGGTATTGGTGCCATGCTTGCAGAAATGGCGAGATGCAAAAGTGAACAATATCAATGTTGGAAGTAGAAACTAGCCTTCCCTTTCCAGGATTAGCGTCTTGCATCATGGTAAGCCAGCCGGGGCTAAGGCAATGGCATGCAGGGGTTGTCTGCAGATGATGGCGTTTGATTGCGTGCTTATTCCCCAGATTCGACAACGTCTTTTTGCGTCAATATCAACCCATCTGAGCAGCGATGAGGTATTAATCCAAAGTGCGGTGAAGATGAAATGAGCTCGGGATCGTGTTTGAAGCCGGATCATGGTCCATGTTAGGGTTCTATCCAATTCTCACATGACACGAGTCACCCCCACATACGCGATACCGTGATAAGGCAAGACTGTGAGGTCTGTCCCAGGCGTAATATTTCCCCAGCTTTTTCCACTTTTTCCCTTTCTCCTTGCATCTGCTGTCGCACGCATACTTTCTCTTCTGGTCTGCGCTCTCTCACGTATCTCACATCATGGCTCAACCGAACCAGTATCCTGCATCTCCGCCAATTTCACCGCCAAACGGTATCCAAGGCGAGAATGGTTTGTCCATGCCAGTCTTTCCTGCCAAACCCAACATTCTTTACATCATGGCCGACCAACTTGCAGCACCGCTGCTTTCCATCCACAACCCCAAATCACAGATCAGAACCCCCAACCTCGACAATCTTGCTTCCAAATCAGTCGTCTTCGATTCGGCATATTGCAACTCTCCACTATGCGCACCTTCTCGAATGGCCATGATCACTGGCCAGCTTCCGTCCAAAATCGGTTCCTATGACAATGCATGTTCCATCGGATCCGACGTCCCGACTTATGCTCACTACCTTCGCAATGCAGGATATGAAACAACATTAGCAGGAAAGATGCATTTCATAGGAGATCAGCTACATGGATATGAGAACCGCCTGACAGCGGACATATATCCGGGCGATTATGGTTGGGCTGTCAACTGGGATGATCCCGATAGGCGGTTGGAATGGTATCACAACAGCAGCTCTATCCTCCAAGCGGGCCCCTGCGTCCGAAGCAATCAACTCGATTATGATGAGGAGGTCTTGTACAAATCGAAACAGTACCTTTACGATCATGTCCGCAAGCCTGATGCTCGGCCATTTTGCTTGACGGTATCATTTACTCACCCTCATGATCCATATACCATCGAGGACAAATACTGGGATATGTATGAAGGCGTCGATATCGATCTGCCGAAAGTCCACATCAATCCCGAGGATCAAGATCCGCACAGCAAGCGGTTGCTGCATGTTTGCGAGTTGGAAGGCCACACCTTCTCGGCTGAGCAGATCAAGCGGGCTCGTCGTGCGTACTACGGTGCTGTCAGCTATGTTGATGACTGCATTGGTCAACTTCTGGAAGTTCTCAAAAAGTGTGGCCTCGAAGACAATACCGTCGTCATATTCAGCGGCGATCACGGTGATATGCTCGGCGAAAGAGGTTTGTGGTACAAGATGTCCTACTTTGAGGCTTCAGTCCGCGTTCCACTCTTCATCAGCCACCCCAGGCAATTCCGGCCTCACCGTGTCTCGCAAAATGTTTCCACCTTAGACATTCTCCCAACTCTGGCAGACCTCGTCGGTACTAATCTTATCCCAGGTCTTCCCATGGACGGAATGTCAATGATGAATCACCTCTACGGCGGCAGCGGTCATGACACTGTCTTTGCTGAGTACATGGGTGAAGGAACCATTGCACCATTGATGATGATTCGTCGTGGTCCTTGGAAATACATCATTTGCCCTGCCGATCCTCCCATGCTCTTCAATCTGGCAGATGACCCCAAAGAGCTGATCAATCTTGCCAAGAGCACTGATGACAAGGTTCAAGCAGTCTTTGAGTCTTTCCAGGTCGAAGCGGGGCAGAAATGGGACTTTGAGCAGATCACCCAAGAAGTTCTCCTTTGTCAACGTCGTCGAGCATTCGTTTGGAGTGCACTGCAGAAAGGCCGCTTTGAAAGCTGGGATTACAACCCTGATGATGATGGCAGACAAAAGTACATTCGTTCACAGATTCCACTAGATATGTTGGAACTGAAAGCGAGGTTCCCCATCCATCAGAATCTCGCCATAAATACGGTGGGAATACCGGTGGAGAAAATGTCCGCACCAACGCAGGCCTTGGTTGAAATTGCTAGCGATCCTGTTCATTACAGGTAGACGTCATGTTGCTTAGCGAGTGACTGTTCTTGCTATATCGCTTGTGTGATAGTGCTCTTGCTTTCGCTTGATACCACTGTTGCGTGTTGCCTTGGCCTGTATGCGAAGTGGGTTTGGTACGGGTTGCACATAGCTTAGCAGCACAAATAGCTGTCAGTCCCGTTTACCTTTCTTGCCCTCATTGAGGATTTGGGCTTCCAGTATTGGTTAAGTCAGGCAGGCCTGCTCCTAGATGACATACGAATCGAAAAATCGATTTACGGTATTGAACGGTCTCAGTTCCATGTAATGCTGGCCTCACTGACATAAATGACCATTTATGGTTCGATGTGGGATTCAAGGTGATTTTAACAAGTTCCAAAATAGCCTTGCAGTAAAACTATCTACGACCCAGCACTACACTAGGAGGGGCAGTTGGGAAGTGGGGTCATGCATTGACATATGTAATATTACTTATTCAGCCACAAAGACATCATCCAGCATCCACGCATAAAAAAGTAATTCATCACCAACACTCCTCCTTCCATCTCTCCACAACCCCGCGCCATCCAATTCATGCCTCTATCCAACATATCGCACATTCTGCTCATCCTCTCGGGAAAAGGCGGCGTCGGCAAATCCTCCACAACTCTACAACTCGCTCTTTCCCTCAACCTACTAGGTCAAAACGTTGGGATTCTCGATATCGATTTGACAGGGCCGAGTATACCACGCTTACTGGGACTGGAGGATAAGAAGATCACGCAGGCGAAGGGGGGTTGGGTACCTGTCGAGGTGCATCCGTCAATTTCTGCGTCTGGTTCTTCTGGGGATGAGGAGGTTGGTAGGGGACAGAAGAGTGGCGTGCAAGCGGTCGCTAGAGGCGCGTTACATGCAATCTCCCTTGGTTTTCTGTTACCGTCCCGATCAAGTGCGGTAATATGGCGTGGTCCGAAGAAGACGGCGATGATACGACAATTCATCTCTGATGTCGCGTGGCCGGATCTGGATTATCTCCTTATTGATACACCACCTGGGACGAGCGATGAGCATATCGCTGTGTTGGAGGAATTACATAAGCTGTCGGAGAAGAGGCCCGGTCAGTTATCTGGTGCAGTGGTGGTTACAACACCGCAGGCTATATCGACAAGTGATGTAAAAAAGGAATTGAACTTTTGTCTGAAGACGGGAGTAGAGGTTGTGGGGGTAATTGAAAACATGGCGGGATACATGTGTCCTTGTTGTGGGGAGGTGAGTAATATCTTCTCGAAAGGTGGTGGTGAGGAAATGGCGAGAGAAAATCAAGTGCCATTTATGGGAAGTGTGCCCATCGATACAGGGTTTGGGGGTTTGGTGGATGGAGTCAAGTTTGACGAAAAGGGAGAAGCAACTGATGAGAAGGACCCGCGACCCTTGGTGGACCGATATGAGGATTGTAAGCTTTGCCGGATATTCTCAGACTTTGCAAGGAAAGTGATGGATGTACAGTCATGATGATACAGTAGGGGTAAAACGGGGCATTGCATGGCGTAGGAAGAAAATTGAATAGATCAACTGAAACACGATGCGCTGGCTATGCAAAACACAAAACTTTCCATCATGGTTTATGCATTCCGTCGTCAGCCTCTCCCTTATGTACATTCCTTTCCAAGATCATTCGCAACCTTGTCTCTGCATCTTCCTGAATCTTGGGACATGCCCTTCGATCTCGGTGCAGCCAAGTAGCAAGACCACGCAGGTCCGAAATCAGGGACAGATTCTGAACTCGGATTTGTGCCGACTCGACTTGTTGCGGCGACTGTGGTATAGACAGCTCTTGCAACAAGTTTGTATCGTCGTAGTATAAAGGATGCTCACTGTCCGCCACCATAATCGGGCTTGATGCAAGCCGATCATTCGCACCAGCAGATAAGTATGTCTCGGATACAGTAGGTTCGGTAGGTCGGCCACCATTGTTGAGTAATGAGCGTAGAGTGGTTGGTGATATGGGCTCCTCAAAATCCTCCAGGACTGCAGGAGAGGACAATGCTCGAGGGGCCATGAGATCACTTCGCCTCGTTCGGGGTGCGGCTCTCAATCTCTCCAACAGTCCATAAGCGGCAGATCCAGCATGACTCCCATCGATCAGACTTGCATCTTCTGGAACTATAATGACATTATCGGCGGCCAACTGTTCGTTGCTGGAGCTTGCCTCTTCAACAGGCAAGAGAGCAGACCTCGAACTTGCTCTGATCTCGCCTTGTGGTGGCATGTGACTATCATATTCGTTCGCCAAACTGAGTCTGCTTCTTCCCATAATCTCTGCAATAGCATCTAGTGTCCCCTCGATATCGGGTTGTATAGCAGCCAAGATCCCGTCGATGGTAAAGTCGGAAACCGGAGGAAGTTCATCACGTTTGCCCATTCTGTTTGTTCTCGGTGCAGGATTCAAATGTGAAGAAGCATCAGCCGAATTTACTCGGACGGTCACCGGTTGAGAAGGAATTGTTGACGAACGCAACCGATCTCGATAGCCGACAAGTTGATGAAGTGGCCTTCGGGAGACATGGCCAGTAGAGAGTGTTTGGTTTTGATTCCGTAGGAAGCTCCATTGTCCTCCAAACTGGACTGAGGACGTGTCAACAGCTACATCCATCTTTTCTGCCTGACCAAGTGGCTCCAAGGGGGAAGGTTTTGCATCAATGTCATCGGACGGGTTGGTACTTGGAAAGTTCGTGTCACTTCGTCAAGCGTGCATCAACAGTGGTTGCCGATCGGTCGGAAGGCATCGATGCATACGTAGTACATGCTTGCATGCTGCTGCAAGGCCTGGATCAATTCTAGGTTGACAGTGACGATGCCATTGCTGTAAGGCAACAGGACCCGCAGGAAGATGTGTTGTCAATGAACAAGTGGAGATGAATTTGCCCCGAGTTTGCGCAGTGTGCGGGATCTCACCTTTGTGGGGAAATCCAATTTGCATCCTACGACGGCCGAATCAGTCTACGTGGCTACGCGTCGAGGCACAAAATGTGGCCGACGGAGAGCTGGACATCCATTGATCACTTGGAACAAGTAGCGTCATGGGCAGCCGTTTCTACGTTGGTCCTACGTCCTCCTCAGAAAGCAATTGCTGATTTTGAGACCGCAGTTTGGAGGCTCTGACGATTCTGGCTCCGAACTCGACGGCAATGACTCCAGTCTACCTTTCCCCAAGCCGCTTGTACGCTCAGCGTTTCTCGTACCAGATTTCGATCCCACCACATTCCTTGCAAACCTCTCCGACCGATATCAGACATTGGAGGATTTGCGGAATGAGCTGCGAGAGCTGAGCCAGTCTCTAAGCAAAGAACTTCTCGATCTCGTCAATGACAATTATCAGGAATTTCTATCACTTGGTAGCACACTGCGGGGTGGAGAAGAGAAAGTGGAGGAGGTCAGAGTTGGCCTCCTAGGCTTCCAACGAGACCTGCATGCGGTTCGAGGGAAGGTGGAGCAACGGAGGGAAAATGTGGCTGCTTTGATTGATACGAAAAAATCAACAATGAAGCAAATACAGATTGGCAAGTCATTGCTGCAGATTGCGGAACAAATTGAACATCTCGAGGCAAGCCTGATGATTGCAGCAACCACTGATGGGAGCCCGAACGGATCAGACGACCAAAGGGAGATTCTTTCTGACGAAAGTGATGAAGATGCTGACGAAGGAGGAGCGTCGTTGCATCGTCTGGAGCGTCATGCCGAACAATTTATGGTCCTCAAACTGCTTCTTCGACGCCACAGCCCTACACAGCCATACATCATCAGTCAGACGAACCGTATCGCCCGGATCAAATCGACCCTTTCCCTCGATCTTGAGGGAGCCTTGAAAGCACTCAAATGTGGGCAGAAAGATCATCGGGGCGATGATTCGCGTATAGACCGACTCGAGACGCTGCTTGTCTCTACGAATGAGCTGGAGCAGCCAGCAGAAGCTACCTAATGATGACTGTATCCCTAGCGAGGCGTTTGTGGATAGCAACAGAATCACAGGGAGCGACATTGACTTATGATCCTGATAATGCTCTTGTTGGCGGCGAATTCTCGCTTCTGAATTCGCCATTCAAGGAGAAGCCTGGCGAATTAGTTGAGCTCAAGACCTGCCAAACGTGAGCCTCGATCAAGAATTTCGTGAACTTACTTACCACCTCGCTGATCTCTTTTGGGGTCGTATCACTTAAAGCCGCTGCATCCTTTTTCATCTTGTCGAGGAAAGTTTTGATGTTGTCTCTTAGTTGTTCCGGCGTGAAGCGTAATTGTCCAACAGCCATCCTCACCACTCCCTGTCTCTCTCGATACATGCTTCCACCAAGCATCCCTTTCACTGCACCGGCAGGACTTTCCACAACAGTCCCCAGCTTGGTGTTCGGCATTAACCCTCTTGGACCGAGAATTCTGGCTAGACCAGCTCGTTGCATCTTGGGAAGACTATCCGGATGCGCAATGCATCTGTCAAAATCGATCTTGCCGGACTTGATGAGTTCAAACACCTCGTCTTCTCCCACAGTTGTAGCTCCTGCTTCTCGTGCTTGTGTCGCAGCCGGCGAATCCGGCGGACAAATTACACAGATTTTGATATCTGTCTTGACCAAGTGAGGCAACCTTATTTGATTCCGAATGACGGCTCCATCTCTTTTCGTCTTCAGCTTGACATGGCATTCGTACTTTGGGATCGAAGGTGGTCGGCCGACTTCAAAAGCACGTATATAGCTTGGATGATTAGTCGAAGTCAATGGCAGTATAGCACACACGTACCGCATAGCGTCACATAACGTAAACTGCTCCGCATCCTTCAAATCATATTGTTTGTATCCGGGATGTTTCCTCCGTTGCTGTTTTGCTTTCAACTTCGTCGCCTTTCCCTTGGACATAGTCTTCCCCTTAAACTTAGCAAGTTTGGCGAAGAGCGAGCTTGTGGTCGAGAGTTGCCGCGAACATGATTTCGAAAGTGAGGCAGAACGAGGAGTACGGATGATAGCATTTAGAAAGGATGGACCTGTAGCCATTCGGAGGTTACGACGATTTCGGATGAAAGGCGCAAAAGCTTTCATCCAACGAACACTTCTGATACCCTCATCAAGAAAGTGATTACTTCAAGTATGCTCTCAACACTGGCAGGCACTCGGGTCTTTAAAAATGCACTTGGCGGACGGTGAAATGAAGACAAAACGCTGCCGATTGGCAGAGCAGCTCTGAAATCCTGAAGAGGCTCAAAATTTAAGGTTCAGCAAAAAGGATGGCTCCACCCACCCATGCATGGGTCAGATCAGGTCAATTGAGCCCATCGCATCCGGATCCAAGCATGCAATCTGCTTTGATTTATCTTTGTATCCACGCGCACCATGGCCGATGCTCCGGCACAGTTACGGCGCTTCGCCCCCGTTGCAGGACCTTTCCAAACGGATACCACAACTCAAGAAATCCCCAACCTGAAACCCACACACAATGCATTGAAGAAAGCTGCCCAGGAGGCTGCCAAAGCCGCAACCCATGTTGAGAAGAAGCAGAACAGAGCGCCAACTAGTACAACATCGGTCTCAGAAATACAGAACATGAAGTTGTTACCAGATTCCCACCCAAGCCGTCAGGCTACCTGCATGTTGGTCATGCCACAGCAGCTCCGCTCAATGATTTCTTTGCCCATGAACAGTACAACGCGACTTTATCCCTTAGATTCAATAATACGGATCTCAAGAATGAAAGTGCGGGGTTTCAGACGCGCTTTTTGAGGTTTGGGCGTTGATAGGGATCAACCTGGATAAAGCCAACCATATTAGTAATGGCTTCTAGAGTTTGTACGAGTACTACGTCCAGACGTTTAAGGATGGCAAAGCTTGCCCCAATGATATTGGTATGGAGACGATACAGGAATAGCGATGGGATGGCCTGGCAAACGCAAGAAGAGACTAGAGCGTGAGAACAACCCAGCACTACCCGAAGAGGTGAAGGTGGGCAACGAAGAAGGTCAAAGATGTTGTATAGGAGCAAAATTGTCTGTCATCAGCCTCAACAAAGCATCGCAGGATACCCCGACCTACCACTATGTGGTCAAAGACGTGGGTGACGATGGTGTCGAACGACAAATATTCCACCACCAACTTGATACGGAATGGAAGATCCCTGCAAGTTACGTTCTTCAGCCGTTCTGTTACCAACTCACTCGATGGTGTCCTTCAGAAAGACGGAGCACCATGATACAAGTGGTCAATATCAATGTGTGCTAAAGGCATTGAGCTTGCGGAAAGTTGATATCTGGGGATTTGCAAGACTCGATCTCGTTCGAACACTTCTCTCAACACGGAAAATGACTAGATTAGTCAAATGTGGCGCATTTTATGGCTGGAATGATCCTCGCTCTCCCACTATGCGTGGAATATGTTTGTGTGGTGTGGTTGTCGAAGCGCTTCGTAAGCTTGTGGTCTCCCAAGGCCCAAGTAGAAACATTGTCTATATGGGATTGGATCGTCTTTTGGACCATGAACAGAATTATGTCAATCCTGTTGCTCCTTAACATGCCACCATCACTTTCCATAAATTGGTGATCTCTCATGGGGGGAGGGAGCAGATGGGGGAGTCCACTTCGAAACAAAGCCAAAAACACAGCAAGAATCCGGGTGATGGACGACAATGGTTGCATAGAGCAACAAGATCTAGATTGAGCGGGCAGATGCATAGCAATTTTCCTGGGATAAAATGATCAAGTTTTCGAATTGGGAAACGCATACGTGAGAAAATCTCAAAATTCCATTAATCCGCCGCAACCGGACGATGTGACCGAGTTCGAGCTCGAGTCGCATTTGGGGAGGCGACTTCAAGAAAACCGAGAAGACAACATGGCTATCAGATGGTCAACAGCTCGTACCAATCGAAGTGGTGGACTTTGACTACGTGATCACCAAGGACAAGTTGGAGGAGGATGACAAGCTTGAGGACTGTCTGACCCCATGGACAGGGTTCAGAACATATACGGTGGCAGATTGCAACGTTGATCAAGGAGAATGATGCCATGCAGTTCGAGACAAGAGGGTATTTCAGCTGTAGTCGGGCTGTCAGACCAGGTAAGCCGGCTGTTTTCTTCAACATTCCAATTAGGACATCGAAATGGAGTCCCTGCCTTTGGATAGACCAGAAAAAAGCGGTAGGTTCACGAATCAATAGGCAAAGGTGAAAGCCTGGCCTTACTTGCGTGATTGAGAGTGCGCAACAACGCTGCAGTATTGAAAAGCAGCCCCAAGCGTTGTTGCTAGTCCTCAATGGCCAATTACAGCCACCACGCGTTCGTCTTCCCCGTGATGCACTCTTACTGCTAAACCCTGCCTGCCTGAATTCTCTCATTATTATCCTGTGTGCCTTTTCTCCCTTCTAGTGGCATGCACCTTTCCCTCCCCATTCATGTGCAATCTCGAGTCAAGGTAGTGTCTTTGACGAAAGAGTGTCGGGGGGGTTTGTAGCACATGGATGGTTGAGAGGCCGACGAAATGCTCTGCACCATGTATCAGTGGTATAGGCACGAATAAGCAGTTTGTCACAATGAGCTACAGGTGGCCGAGAGATTTGGCCCATGGTCTTCTACCTCCGACAATTGTTACTAAGTATCTAGTACTAGTCAGGCAAGTTTGTGGAACGACGCTTGTTCATTTATAGTCTTCTAGTTCGATCAATGGTGCTCGGATGAGCTGGGAATCTATTCACAATTTCTCACTGATGAAGCTCTTCCAAGTGGCTACAGTGATGTCTCAGGACTCTCCAACAGCGTGTGGTTTGTTCTGAAAACAGCGTCCCTTGGCGATATTAAACTGCAAGCAGTGGTTCGAAGAAACCCGGAGCAGCCAACCGTGTCAATAACCACCAACATTAGTCGATTCGCTATGATATTCTCTTCAGGGAGAACATCGATCTCGCAAGGCACTGCCGCAATCGGATTCTGAAAGATTGCTGAGGGTGCTTACAAAGCCATTTCGATGGCAGATGTCGGCCGAGGTTACTTCCATCTGTCAACGCCAGTCCAAGCGCGAGCATGGTCTAAGTCGGGGCTGTAGTATGTCCATTGAGAACGGTTGAGTGCTCACATATAAGCGGCGCTGACCTGCTCTGAATGCTTGTCATCTACTACGTACTTCGTACTACTAGTAGTAGTGAGTAGGTCATAGCACAACTAGAATGATACACAATGCTTCACTTAAATCGCGCCTGTGTTCTGCCAAGATTTCAGCCTGCTGGCTTACTTACTACGTAAATGATTAGGGCTTGGGTTTAGGGCCGGAGCTAGGTGACGGAAATAATGAGATGGCCGTCCCACACGACTCTATTACTTCTATCTTC